AACTCCACTTTTAATAGTTGAGATTTATTTATTTTTATTAAATGTGATTTTTTCATATAAAAAGTCATGATAAATTAATTTCAACCATTAAAAGTGAAAAAATGAACGGTCAAGATTTTTTTTATAAATGTAATGTATAAGATTTGTGTGTGAATGTAATATGTAAAACTTGTGTGTAAATAAATTTCTAATATATATATATATGATAAATGGAAATGCCAAAATTAAGTAGGATTAACTACTATACTAATTATTAAAAATGTGTCTTCATTCCTCACCATAATGCTTAAAGGTGCCACATACATAGGAAGATTGAATATCATACAGATCCATCCTAAAACTTGAAGACGAGTTGATCCTTTTGCTAAGAAGTGGGAGAGAAGAAAGATTATGGAGAATCCCATGAAATTGAACAGAACAAGTAACCTCAAGGTAGATATCTGCATTTAGAGAAATTAGTGCTATTATGTGATATCATGAACTAGTTTTTGCAATTTAGACCGAGAAAAAAAGCACGTGAGTTTACTTACCCTAGCCTTCTTTGGGGCATAAGTGATGTAGAAGGTGATGTAAATGGTTTCGATTAAGCAACCAAAGGAGTTGATAGTGATGAGAAGGAAAACGCCGGATTTGAGTGATGCATAGTAGATCCAAAGCATGGCACAGAAGAGTGTAGCCAAATATGGAAGTGATTGAAACCCCTCTGTTGATTTCTTCTTCCAAATTCGATAAAAGGTCGGTCTAAAAATTAATATGGCAAGATAAATGTTAATTAGCACATATATAAAATCTTAGTATATTATCAAAATATTGCTCAAAACAAATTAACATTTATTACTTACATTGGAGCCATAAAAACCACGAACGAAAAAATGTTGCCTAGGATACCAAAAATTAAAACCCGAGTGTTTTCAGTAGAAATCAAGGCCATTTCTTCGTTTCTCTAACTAGTATTTCGCTCTCACTCTCGTTTGTTAAAGGGGTGTGAGTACACATATGAAGGTACCACAAGAGCATGACATATATATAGGCTTCAAAAAATCACTTTCTTGCATGGGAATGAAAACAATGGGTAATTAGATATAGTAAAATGATCGATATAGTTTTTGATTTAACACATTTATCAATATCTTTCGATTTAATTATTAAAATATGTTTTTAAAATTTTTTTATTTTAAATTTAAATTTAAAAATAATAATTTTTTAATAAATATTTATAAAATGTATTAAATTAAAGTATGCACTAATCATTGTTCTTAGAGGCTTTGTACAAAAACCCTTTGCATCCATTCCGAAATGGCAACTCATCTTTTGAAATTGTTGGCAATTACTGTGTACGTATATGTCACGCTTTGATTAAGTGAATGGAAAATTATATGTCACGCTTTGATTAAGTGAACGGAAAATTATATGTCACGCTATGATTAATTGAACGGAAAATTTTCTGGGAATACATTTTTTCGACAAAAAGACAACAACACTTGGAAATAGGGACAGAGCCAATCTGCAGGGACAGGGGAGGGTAGCCGCCCCCTCCGAACTTTTGAAAAATATTTAACATGGTACTCTAATTTTTAATTGTTAAAAAATTTGTTTTTATAGTATGAATTTCAAATACCATTTCAAATATAGAGAAAATATTTAGAACCTGAATAAAGAATTTTTAAAAAATAAGGATATGATTCGAAATGAAATGAACTTTATGTCAATTTATTAATTAAGAGTTGTGGTTTTTAAATATTTTCTCATTTATTAAACCCCAAAAAAAAACTTTGATTCTTCATTTAAACAACTTTAAATTTATATTTTTTTAGTATTTTTTGTATTAAATCAATTTAA